TGCATAGTTGCATTTCACAGGGCCATCGTCACGCAGCGCTTAGGAGTGGAGGAATGAAACATCAGGGGGATTAAAGTTGGAAGGAAGTAGATTCTTTGGAGGGGTCCCACGTTCCCCTCACTGTCGGAGAGTGTAGCCCCAATATTTTATGACACGGTCTCACATACTCCGGTCTGGGACTGATTCGTGGTTTGAAAGTGGGTCAGTAAAAGCTGGAAGAACCATTGATTGTGTTCGCGGCTTCAGCCAAAAGGAGACGTTCATTCAAATGGAAAACGTGTGCAGGATAAAAGAGCCTTATAGGACTTATAAAGACGTGCATGGGAGCGACCCGCCTCTGAATGTGGAGCTGGGTGCATATGAAGGACAATAATGTACACATTCTTCAGGCTGCAGCTCTACAAACATGGTACAGGACAATCGATCACACGGTCGACATTGTGGGACCGAAACGCTGCGTGGCACTCTGCTGGTTCACTTCCAGGAACGCTGCAAACACTATCTCACCGCTGGCTTGTCAGCATACACTCTGCATATAAACAGGGCAGATGAAAGTAATTATCTGTGAGCTGTGGCCTACTCTCTCAGATCAGATGGTTAATTAGTCCATTTGCTTTTAGCCCCACATCTTCCAGAGCCGGTGGTCTTTCAACTGGCGGGTAGGCGGAGACCTTGTAAAACTGCTTTTAACTAAACAACATCACTTTCTCCGGTGCCCTCAGAGGTTGTTTACAATACGCAGGCTGGGAGCAGCCCTCGCCATGAAATACTGCGGACAGTCAATAAACATTTAGCAGGATTATAAAGCATGTTTAAGGTTTTAGGCTCGCTGTCGAAATGTGACATCATCTCACCCTTTTGGCAGATATGATTTTAGTCATGGATTCAGAGATGGTGACGTCAGCAAGTCAGCTGGTTCACCACAGTAGGCCAGACAGATGGATTAAAAAAAGAAGAAGAAAAAAGACACGGATCTCCAAGAAATTTGGCGCAGATATTAACGATCCTCAGAGGAACTGAATTTGATGACATTTCCTTTCACTCATGTATTAAATGTGTCCCAAGGAATTTAGTTGTTCTCTTAATGGCAGTTCATCGTTTCCCAGTTTGCTGACTGATGCAGAAAGCAGCTCCATTTATTCTGCAATAGGTAGGTCAGTTTGACCATCACATCATATCGAACACAGAAAAGCACACAACTTTGCAATCTTTACAGGATACAGCAGCTTCTTACACAGTGGTCAGACCCAACACAGGATATCTGGAGAGTTTAGAGCTGCCCACTGTGTTTTGGGTTGCTTTAATGGAAAGCAGGCAGCTACAAATCAAAGCACCTCCAATGTCCTGCAGCGACTACTTCAATTACAACTCTTGTGCTGATGAACTAGAAAGATGTGGATGATGGAGCATCTCCTCTCATGTCGCAGTCGGCATGCTTGCATTCAGTCCATGCAGTCACAAATTTTGGGCGGCACATGGACGTTTACAGAGAAGTCCTGGTGGACCCTCGCGGGCTTTTGCAGATGACAAAATTTATCTCACGTGGACTCTTGCAGACATGCGGAAAGCATGAACCGGCCTTTACTTTTCCTCTAACACAACCAGGGGTTGACATTTATGGTTTTGAGTAAAATGTCTCAGTAACCACTGGATGGATTGCCACTAAACCTCAGGATGAATTGTTCTACCTTTTTTTTTTCATCCAGCACCAACATCGAGTCACAATTTGTCCACTAGTTTGGTTTATGACTAAATATCCTCAAGCCTTTCCCATCAGACTCAGCTGGACTTTGTGTTTGGTGCTGATACCAAACTAACACAGTGATTGTCTTAAATATTATACCTGCACAACATCAGTCTGTTAGCATTGTTCAGTCTGCAGAGAGCTGGTGTGACTGCAGACAGGAATACTCAAGTGGTTTAGCCTGAGGGCAATATTTGCAAAAATGACAGGAAGCCAGTTAATAAACAAACAATCATTTTCAGTAAAGCTGAACAAATAGTGACTGTCCCTCTTTTTATTAATGGAAGCCTTTAGTAATGTTTGGCAGTCCAAAAAGTACCCAAGGCACTTGAATTGTAAATCTAAAAAAAAATCCTGTATACCCTTAATGTTTGTTTCTTCATCCATGTATTAATAAAGAATTATATTTGGTTCTATATTTAAAATCAGAATGTCTCTACTCTTTGGACTGCCACCAATATGAAAGACTTCCACTCATAAGAAGTCATTATTTGTTCATCTTTACTGACTCCCGACCCTGAAGAGCACCTGATTTATTATTGTCTTTATTTTAAAACTACCAACTTTATTCTTCTTGACCCAGTGCAGCACTTTTTATTGTTTAATCTTTTCTCTGTGTATGTATTTGATAGAATTAATAAATTCATATTTAAAAGCCAAGAATGCATTTTTCTCAAAAGTGATTTATTATTACTTATTTTCAGATTAACAGAGTAACAGCCAAGAAACAGAATCGATTATTTACTATAAAACCAAACACAATTGCTCGGATTAATCAATTTATTTTCATTGCAAATTAGAAAATAATCGCTCAGCCAGCCTACGCCCTACTGAAGGCCTGATTGGAACCACAGACCACGAGTTGAGCACCACTGCTGTAGATTCTTTGCCAGTGAAAACTAACTGCGTTTCTGATATTTTGCAAATGTCAAAAATATGTATACAAATGGAAAGCGATATGAGCAGGAGCAACTTTGCTATGATGGAAAAATGAAAAATTAACACCATCAATTTTAGCCTCAAAAGTTTAAATAAACTTTCGTGAGCCCTCCGGCAATAAAAATATGATTCTCTAAGCTTCACAATGTGTTAATTTATTACAGGGCGGTTACACTGGATTGCGCGATATTGCAAGGTGTGCCTGTCATTTTATGCAGCCCACTTTGGTGATGATTGGTTTTCAAAAACACTGGTGTAATCTCATTTCTGCATGAATAAAAAAGCACGGCTACGAGTCATAAACAGTTTTACTGCACATGAAATATGCAGTCAAATGCAGTCATTCTTTTGTCAGATGTTAATCCAGTCCATTGAAGTGGAGATCTGAAGGGAAGTTAGAGTTGGAGCAGAAATGCGCTGGACTCCGCTGTATGGTCATCAGATATCAGGACTAACAGCTCCCATGTGAATCGCCAATCTGTATAAATATCAGGCGTTTATGTTGAAGAACAGAATCAAAACCCCCATAAATGTCCACATGTGCGCCGCGTCATCGGCGCAACACGTGGGCCAATTAGAAAATGAATATTAGGTTACTGAGAACATCTGATTTGAGTGTTTCTAAGGGATTGTCTGAATGTCTGCAACACAATGAGCTCAGTCATTTTCACCAAACTGCATTTTCTTGCAAAATCTCATCAAAAGCCTATCAGGAACCTGATCCGCACAGTAAACAGTCGGCACTGAGGCAGCTCTGTATGCAATCATACGGACACAATAGTTTGTCCTTGTCAGTGCAGGAAGTTTCGAAAGCCTTATTGCATTAGACTGAGCGTGTCCTGTTTTTTTCCCCGATTAAAATATGATTCTGGTTGACTCCAGCTTTGGTTTATTTTTGTCATTTTGGCCAATAACGTTGCACAATGTTGCAAAAAAAAGAAGGCACAAAGGGAAGAAAGTCTGACAATCACACTGATTTTACTCAAACTATCATGTCACACAAAGTTATCTTGAAGAGACCAGTAAAATTAATAACCCAATTATGCGTAATAAACATCCATCACAGTCTGCAGTCCCACATTCTGCTCTGATAAAGTCTGCATGCATGGGAGATTATTATTGACACTTAACACACTTAGTTTTAGCAGCAAATAAAACGGTTCTGACAATGTGGTTAAACAGCTGACGCGTTTCTGTCCCCATTGGACTCGAAGAAATGACTCTGGTGAGCGCAACGTCTTCATAACTGACAGAAACGAGGGCCAAAGCTGTAAAATAAGGCGCATGTGTTTAGATGGGAATTACGCTTTAAAACCCGCACGAAACATTTAGAGCCGGAATTGAGGATGAATCATGTTTGGGACCTTTTGAAGACAGCAGGGGGCATCTGACGCGCACGCATGAGGCAATACGGCAAAAGGTAAATGAGGAAATTACAGCGTGTCAGCCTACAGGCCTCTGTATTTTTTCTTGAGGGTCTCTGGCTGTCGGAGGAAAGCGGAGGAGGGTCCACGGTTGTTCCTCAGATCTCTCAGGTTGTTTAAACAGCGGAGAAGGATTGTAATCCACTGAGACAGCCCTGAAAGCACTCAAACACACACATGCAAACGCACAAAGTGTGTGCCTGCGTGTGTGTGTGTGTGTGTGTGTGTGAAGGTGGTCAGCTGGAAGTGTTGACAGCTACAAGTGCAACCACCAGAAACCAGGAAGTATCGGTCGATCTGTGGGCTGATATATTTATCTGCGGGGTTTGATCCTACAAGCATCTTTGCACTCGCTCCAAAGGTGGTTTCCATGGCAATGAAAGCTGCAAATAAAAAAAAAATGGGGGTGCTTCGGCCTTGACGACAGCTGGGACTTATTGTGGACGGAGAACATAATTCCTGTCCGTCACAACAAACCTTCAGCAAATGGGTCATCATGTGGGAGCTACGCAGGTGAATTTGTGTCTCAGACGTTCTTTTGTGCAGCGCAGATGAGAAATGTTGGTTTAAAAACAGCAAGGCTTGGACGTCACCTTGAACACAGGTGATGCATGTGGCAGAGAAAGAGGTGCATCACGGTGCAAACAGCAGCCTCATTTCACATGTTCACTTGTCCTGTGCTGACCCCCACAGGAGCTGCAGAGCGAGACCTGCAGCGGCCGAGGAATCAATGTCCAATTGTGAGCCAAGAGGTAGAACTAATGGGAAGGTAAACTTGTACGCCTCCTCAGAGCAGAGGCCGCGGACAAACTGCTCACTGGAAGGGTTTAGATTCAACGCTGAAGGAAAACACGAACAAACAAGCGGCACAAACACGGAGCAGCGCGGCTCACCTGGTTGATGTGTTTGAGTTTGTCTATGATCTGGCTGATGATCGGCTCCGGAGGCTTGTTGCTCCTCGACTCGGAGCCGGTGTGCAGTCGCTTCAGGCCAGGACCCGGAAACCTGCAACGGAGAGGAAGAAAAAATGTGTTTTTGTGTTTCTGACTTCTTAAGCTCCATGTGTGGAAGACATCAAGAGCTGACCATCGCTCCATCACTCCAAACACGGCATTTATCACCACCTAGTGTTGATAAGATGAACGGCAGCTCTTCCACGGTTGTAAGTTTCAGGGGCCCAGAGTGCAGAGCTGGAAAGTTCATTTGTAACTGAGCTCTAATCAAAGGACTAACTTCTCTCTCACTGCAGACTTTATATCGATAAAGGTTTTTCTAACATCTGACATGTAAAAATAGTCTCAATGTTATTTTATATATAAAAAAAGGTATGACGACCGCAAACATCTCTGTAGGAAAAGACTATTTAATGGACTATGCTAAAAATATTTCAGCAGCAGCCTCCACAAGGAAGCTGTCCTGGGTGTATAATTACTTTAACTTATAGACATCTGCTTTCAATTAGCACAGATGCTGCTGTTACACACTCACACACACACACACACACACACAGATATATATATATATATAGACAGTTGTGAACAAAAGTTTAACGCTTGTAAAGACCATTTATATCATGGCAGTCTGTGGGTTTACTCCTGTAACTCTGAATTTTCTGATGGCATCATTGAAACACGTCTTTGGTTCTTTCATAGATGCATTTGTAGTCCTCTGCAAATATGACGAATGTAATCAGGATATTTTTAAAATTATGTTCACAGTACTGAGCTCTTCTTTTTTTATTTGGCTTTTTCTCAGTCTTGAGATATAAACTGATCTGCTGTATATATATATATATAAACAGCATGCAGTATATCCTGTACATCTCGAGACCAGCTCAGTTTGTTAGTCCTCTCTGTGTAGTGTCCAACAAACCTAAAGTACCAAAAATCACTGACTCTGCTCATTTTCTTCTTTGTGTGTAGAATTTAGAATAATTCAGTGACTGTGGCAGTCAGAAAAATTCTCCACCGCAGCGCTCACTTTGTCATTTTATTGCCAAAACACACACACACGTATAAATATATCTAACCAACGCTAAGCTGTTCTGGAGGCAACGACGTCCTCAAAGGAGTTTAAACATTACGCAAAGTTTGGCCGGTTATTAATTTCATGCACATTAACTGGCCACTTAGTGACTTTTTAATCATCTGCAGAAAATGACAGAACATTAGCGGAGATGTATTTTTGTCCCGCTTCAGCTCGGAGGGTATATTTAGGTACAAGCAGCCTGCAGGCAGGTGCTTACATGTCTGCATGTGCAACTGAGGAAACGCTGCTGTGTTGACACTTGTGTATGTTATCAGGAGGAGGAGGAGCTGGCGTGTCTGAAAGGTAGATTTCTCTCCAGTTGTTGTCTTTCATGTTGAGACTTTTCCTGCAGGTGTTCCTTCAACTTCTGGCACTGACGGGAATTAACCCCTTCCAACCGCAACATCGTACCTCCAACGAGGAGGCTAACAGCGCGCATTAAGACTGTTTACCGGAGTCAGGACTGACAACATATCGTTCTCGGCCACGGCGGCGGTATGAGCGGCGCTGAGGCCGGAGGTCGAACTGCAGCGTAAATGTCAACTGCTATATTGCAGTAAATGTTTGGAAAGATGAAGGACGGAGGGGCTGGAGGATGAAAAATGAATTTCAGAGAAAAGGTTAGTAAGAAAGAGAGGGGCCTTGAAAAAAATATGAGCATTAGAGTGTGTGTGTGTGCGTAAGTGTGTGAAGCATGAGGTCATACTCTGTTCTCATGCCGGTGACACACACACCTTCCAGCTGCCATCTCCATTCATCAGCTGCTCTCTTAAGTCAGACTTTTCATTAAACTCAAATTACATTTCCTCAGTTATTTATTCTTCTTATTAGCCGTGATCTCATCCCCTCTCCACTGCTAATTATCACATTAATAATAGAGAGATGTGTGATCAATTAGGGAGAGGAAAAGAGGGAATATGGGTCGAGGAAGCGGGATGAGGTGATTCTCAATGAGGCAGGTTTCTGCTTCAAATGATTCAACCGCAGTATAATGTCGCGTGTACAACCGATTCTCGCCGCTGATAGTCTCAGTCGTCGGGTTTGTTATTCAGCCGTCTCTGCAGAGCTGATCAGATCGGCTCACGCTTGTGATAATCTAATCTAATCTAACACCAATTATCAGGCCATTAAGCCCAGTCTGAACGAGTCTGCCGCCTCTCAGGTTGAAATAAGCTGAAGAGATGGAGTCCAGGTGATGAGAAACAGGAATGTGACACTTTTCACACCAACTGATGATCAAAACATACAGACGGCATCAGAGGTTTGCTGCTTTTTCTCTCTTAATGTTAAACAAAAAAGGAATCAACGTTCCAAAGAGAGCTGTAACTGAGTACAGCAGCTGAAAATTCAGCTTGTAAAAAAAAAAAACATCCTTCGGTTCAGTTAACGTTTTCTTTGAACCTTTGTCTTGACCAGTGTTGGAGAAAGTATTCAGTTCTTTAGCCTGGTTCTGCATCCACACAAGTAGAAAGTGGCCTTAAGAGAAAAGACTCAAGTAAAGCACCTGAAAAAGTTCCTGAAATGTACCGTTGAGTAAAAATACTGAGTTACATTCCACCAAGTGGCTTTTTCAGTCTGTCGGTCAGTCCATCACTTCGGTGCAGCCTGAAATACCTCGACAACTGTTGGTCTAACAGCCGTGACACTTGGCTTCCTTTGCTTTGGTGTTTTTTGTAAAATGTCTAAACAACTGTTGGATGAAATCTGCTAAACACATTCATGTGTCTTTTAAGATGAATGTAATAAGTTTGGTGATGGTTCAGCTTTCCACGCCGTCAAGTCAAATCAAAACAATCATTTTTCCAATACTCTTTATTATGACCACGTATCTGCCAAACAGCAACGCTCCATCAGCACCAGTTCCACCGTCAGACAGCTTCCCAGACATTGATTAGACCTAAACTAAAAGAAAAATCAATGAAGATCTCCACTGAGGAAAGTCTGGGTTTGATCCATGTTTGGGAAACTGAGTCATCGCAGCGAGTTTTTTATTTCTTCTAAAAATGCTCTGAGAAAGTTCAACAAAGTTCTAGTTGTGTTTTCCTTTAGTTCCCAGAATGCTCTAAAGCAAGCGAAAGATGCTGTAAAAATGTTCCTAAAACATTTTCCAAATGTTGCATTGAAGATGTCCTTTCTTTGTTATCATCTAACACTGTTTAATAGAAGAACGTTCTGAACAGCAACATCCCCAAAACATCCTCAGAATATCGACGGCAAAATGTTCCACCTTCGTTAATATTTTACATTACAGGAAAGTTTTATTTTAAAAATCAAACCTGTTCTGTCCTCTGAGGCCTGGATAACATCTGGAAAACATTTTTCTTCTTTTGTTATCATGTAACCTAATCTGATCCTCCAAACATCCTCTGAATATTAAAACGTTCTGATTTAGTTCACTTTTAACCTCAAAGGAACATTACTTGAAATGATAAATATCCTTAAAACGTTCTTGAAACATTAGACTAAATTTGTTTTTTCTTAAACATGATAAGAACCTTTAGGCAATGTTGTGAGAACGTTCATTGCTGACTGGAATCGTGTTTAAATAACTAGATCGCTTTACCTGTCTGAGCTCAGACACCTGACATGTTACACGTGACACCTGCTAAACATCAACATGTTTGCATGCTGATGTTAACGTTTAGCTCAAAGCGCTGCTGGACTGTGCAGAGCAGCAGCAGACTTTTGTTTTTGTTGTTGTAATTATTTGTGTTTTAATAGCTAATTTTAACATTTGGTCAAAGGACCACAGCCGTCCCCGGTACAGTTGATCATTTTAGATGATCTTTCTTAAAATAAACAACTAAATGTAGACAATAAAGCCAGAAAACACACCTTCATGCGCTATATTTCATGTACCAGGTTCTCCATTCGTGTATATATGATGAGTTCATCTGCAAAAACATCCATTTTTGTAGATTTTCAGAAAGCTTTTTTTTTGTCGTTTGCTTGAGATCATATCAACCAAACTGAAGCTGAGTGGATTTGACTCAGTAGAAATGACACGACAAAAATAGAGATAACTTAAGTTGGATTAATATTGTCCCAGGTATTTGATAGAAAACTGGGTTTTCTCAAGGTTTATGAAAATGGAGTTATCTGTTTTGCAAATGAACTCCTCATATGTAAATATCTGAATATCCACATATGGAAAAATCATTACTTATGTATATTTCATCTTCTGCTACAGCGTCCCCCTTTGCTGCTGTGACACTGCAAATGTCCTCACTGTGGGATTAATAAAGGCTTATCTTATCTTATCTTAACTATGAACTACTTTGCTTCCAAAGGAAGGCTGAAAAAACCCCATAAAATTAGGACAAAAAAAATAAGAGACGGTTCACTGCTCTCTCATAAAGTCAGCGTAACCGACCTTCACGCAAAAGACAAACTGCAGTCCTCTCCTTGTTTCCTGACCTTCTTAATTTTCAAAGTCCTCAAATAAATGTTCTCAGTCGACACTGGGTCTTATCTTTTATCTCTTATCGTGCGCTCACACACTAGTTTACGCTGTCATTAGATCCAAAAGAGGAATGGAATTATTTCTGAGTTGATACGGCAACTTTATCACAGTCATCAGTGTTAAGGCTCTTTGATGTGGTGAAAAGTGTTGCTCCTCTGATCTTGGCTCCAGGTGGGATGGTAAACAAGCCTCATTTAGCTCCGAATATCACTCCTCAAGTATCGGAGACATTCAGCACCCGACCCCTCCGGTGCTTATCCTCTCCCCACCCGGCCGGGCTAAATTTATCTGCATGAGACAATGCACTGAATGAATGCCACGTTTGGCTCTGGAGAAGGTCCTATCTGGGAAGATAATGGAAGATGATCCAGAACAAATCTCCGAGTGCAAATGCACCCTGAGTGAATTTTGCAGGCATATGCCCTCGTAGATGACACGGAGAATTGCTTGCCGCGAGACATTGTAATCTCTCCATCATTTTGTCTCCTTTCCTGCCTCCCTGCACCCTCTTATCGCACTGTTTGGTCCAGCTTGTAATCATCCCCTCAGGACAGCTCTGCCCCCTTTGCCAACCTGATGTCACCTCCTCAGATTGGGGCTCTTTTTTTTTTTTTTTTTCATCTTTATGACAAATTCTTTTTCAGCAGTTTGAGGGGGGAAAAAAAGCACAGAATTTATTCTCCGTCCTCCTCTGGGAACAAGAGGTAACGCATTAACCTACAGGGCTCCTCGTCTGAAATGTGTGCCTCTGCATTGATTAAATTCCTCACATAATTTACAAGACAAAAAAAAAAAAAGAAGAAAAAAAAAACGACGATATCTGAACCAATCTAAGCCAAATTGAAACTGGGGCCGACTGACAACGCGAGAGAGAGAAGTTATGATGTGCAGAGCCAGAGGACAGAGGTGAAGTGAAATATTGTGGAAACCAAATGCGGTTCTGCAGGGTGCACCGGAGACGCTGGATGAAGGAGGAGAGAACGATCGAAACGGCAATTAACTAAGCGAGAAGAAGGTGACAGCATGCCTGACATTAATAACATCCCATAGAGCCAAAGTCAAGATTTACACTCACACTCAGTGGGAGAGTGGGGCCTCTTGTGCGAAGCTCATCAGCTCTGGGCAAACTTACTTACCCTTCAAATCACCTACACACCTCGATGTGATGCCGGAGTGTTGGGAATCGGCGAATCTGAGCAAACTGTTTGTATAAAAGATCATGCGGAAAGCCAATAAACCTGAGCGGGATTCGTCTGCGGGCGCTTATGGAGGTGTTGGCTGTAAATCCAAACAAATGATGGTTTACCTGTCTGTCATCTCCTGCCCGTTCCAGCAGAGGGAGTGGTTTGCTGGAGTGGGCTCTCGACTGCACAACGCCTCCCCGAGACCGCTGTAGAAGGAGCTGAAGCCTCTCAGGTTGGTTATGAACTCCCTGAAATGGGTAAAGAGTGGAAAAGTTTCAGTTAATGTGGACGTGGCTGTGCGGTGAGAAGTTCAGGGACTGTCCTACAGAGAGAGGAGACAAAAGAAGAAGGCAGAAATAGCATAAAGGAGGGAATTCAGCTTGATAACGGTGAAAGCAAGTCGATTATATCCCCCTTGAGAAGCAGAGAGTAAAAGAGGCCAGAATAAGCAGTGTCTCTGTTCCTAATTGACATTAATCTGGCCATTGTGCTGCTGAGGCCGGCAGCCCCGCTGGGCATTATTACACTGTTCATTTAAGCCTGTTACTGCATCAGAGCTGCTAAAAACACTCAAGTGGAGAAAGACTGAGTGTCACAGGGAAGCAAGAGGGAACCTGTCCGCTCTGTCAGGGGCAATATTGGTCTGTCAGACACATATTTCCCCCGCAGCGCTCCGGAGAGGAAGTGCAGCTCCATCATCCCAAGGCGTCTGGATTACAGCCTCTGATTTGCTCACCTGCGGAGGCCGGCCAGAGTCTCATCAGAGTCCGAGGACGAGGGCTGAGCTCCGCGGGCAGCAGAGGCGGCTGGAGGCTGAGGAGGAGGCGACCCGACGGAGCGAGAGGCCCGCTGAGGAGAGTGTCCACACATCCCGCTCACCTGCAGAGGAGAAAATGAGAAGTTTGAACCGAGTTTCCCCCCCCTAGTACCCCTCTTCACCCCACTTATGTCTGGTTGCACCCAGTTTCCAGGTCCTGAGCCTGTTTATTCAAACTCTTAATAGCAATGACACTGCAGACAGTACAGTCAACAGCCGAGCAGCCGGCCTTACTCAGCTGAGCCCCTCTGCAAATTGTCATCTGTTTGGATTTGTTTATTTTTGGGAGGGATGAAAGCAGGGGGGATTTGCATAACAAACAAGTCATTGTATCCTCTGCCAGCCGTGTTCGAATTTGTAATCATAACACTCCAAAAAACGCGAGCGTGAAAATAAGGCCTCTCGTTTGCCGCTTCCTTCCCCATATAAACGCCATTGTGTTTCCACGCGGGACGACATAACAATAATAAATAAGGAGTCCCTCTCTGTCTCTCAGAGATAATGGACCTGGCACATTCTCTTCAGGTGCAATAAAAATGCAAATGGCTGTTAATGTTTAGCTTGTGGTTTAATGATCTGCCGGTGGTTTAATTTCCCTTGGGGATGCTGGCTGAGGCTGAATTCTGCCATGTAATGTTAACAGCTAATTGTGCCCAGCTCCCCTTTAAGTGAATAGGCTGGCACCACCGCTGCTGAATACTGATGGGAGCTGATAGAGCTGCACTGGACATCTTCATCTGGTGCTAAGCGAGGCTGCGAAACGGGGCCCAGGCTTTCCAGCATAAACAAAACTGAATCATTTCATGCAATTACTCATTTGTACATAATGCACCTAAGCCTATTATCATGATAAACACGCACTCCTACATAATAAACTGGTCGCATTATATAAGCTGCTGACACACAGAAATGCTGATCAGCCGCAACACACACACACAATCATCAGGGTTAATCGATTCAGCTCGTCATCCGAGGATACGACGAGCAAAGACACCTCGACACACGCGGCCCTGACAGTCACAGACGGTTGAGTCCTCCTGCAGCAGGCCTTCAACATCCCGCTAACAACCATGTGCTTGGGTGGAAATCACACACACACACACACACTCCAGCCCATTGTCTCAGCCACCCCATCCTCTCCTTCCACATCTACCTCTCGTGTGATGCTTTCGTTCTCGTGCGCCTGAAGCGAGTGCCGGCGCTCCCACAGGCCATGATTAATGTGATCGGAGCTGCGTTCCTCTCCTTTTTTTTTTTTTCTTTTTTTGTTTGTGCATTCCCGGGAAGCCGTAGGGGGAGTTTGTGGCACAAGGGAGAGAGACTGATTCAGCACGCACACCACACCCCGCCGATTGTTTCCGGATTCTTCAAGGAAGGGGCTCATTAGTGGGGTATTAATATCACCCAGGGCTGGACGAACACAACCAACAGGAGAGTCTTGCAGATAAAGCCTGCCTCAGCGTGAGAGCTTGGAAATATCTGCACACTTTTATCTGCACTGAACAGCCTGCTTCACTGGGGGAGAGAGGTGCTGACGGCCAGTAATACAACACACACACACACACACACACACACACACACACACACACACACACACACATATATATATAAACCCTATAGTCCACACCTCCACACACCTGCATCTCAGGTTCCATGTGGTTCTCTGCTTGTGCAAACATGGTGTAAAGATAAACTCCAAACAAATCAATGGCAGCGCACGTAAGCACAAAACGTATAATCGGGCCTTTACATTAATCTTGAGGAGTTTTTAATAAGCAGTTTGTGGAGGACAGATGATACTATCTGTGTTATGAGGTGGCAGGGCGCCATGCACAGCTGTAACAACATATTGGAGAATATTTGGTGAGTAATGTTTGTGTTCCAGCGTAGTCAAAGCTCAGGGGACCGACTGAGTCAGCATTCAACCCTCCTTCCTCATCCTCCTCCTCCTCCTCAGACTGTTGTCACAAGAAGAGGAACTGACTTCTGCTGAAATGTACACCGTATACACGTCCTATTTCAGCTGAAGCCCTTTTTAAATTCAGCCAGTGAAGTGAAAATGGTGGCAAAGCCTGGCTGTGTATCAAATATAAATTAATCCCCAACTATCAGGGTCATAAATTCATCCGGATGATGTCGTCTGGGTTGAAAGTGAAGAATTGTGAAACATATTTTTTTGCCAAATGCAAATCACACACCTCTACTCTGGTCATGTGAAGCGGTTGAGTTCAGCCTTTTTTGTCGCACAGCTGAGCCCAAGCGTCTCAGATTTTTCATTAACTCCAGGGTTATCGTCACAAAACTTTGTATTTATAAGCTTAAAGCATCAACTATTTATCCTATTGTGCCATTAAACTGGCAGCCGGGGCTCAGGTGGTAGAGTGCGTCCGTTAATTGCAAGGTTGGCGGTTAAATCTACAGCCCTCCTTGTGCCAAAGCGTCCTTGGGCAAGACCCCAAGTTGCTCTCAATGGAGGGGGAGCACCTTGAACGGCGGCTCTGCCACCATTGGTGTGAGTGAATGGGCGAATTAGAAACAATCACAAGTGCTTTGGAACCTAAGGCCAAAAAAGCACCATGCAAATGTTGACCATTATCCATTACTTTTTATCCCCACACCTTTAGCTAACATGAACTGATCCAATTTGTGTTGTTTTGGTGTTACAATCATGAATGAATTAAGGACATGCTGGACTTGAATGAAACCTGCTCACCCTGAACATGAGGCAAAAGAGTTTCTAGCTCCCAGATCACCTTTATATTATGTGGCCCACAGCACATGTGCGTTAGAGTTTCTTCCAGCTTGGTCTGTAAACTGTA